TTGACGTTATCTGATACAGAAACTGGCGCACAAAAACTTGCACAAAAAACAGAAACCAGAAGATCCTGAGTTTGTTACTCACAAAGGGGAAATTTCTCTAGTCGACAAACTCCAAAAAATCGCCCTTCCAAAAGGTCACCCAACATTACTGTAAATTCTCATGCTAGGTGTGATGTACCTGAATATTGCAACCTCCCTCTGAATAGGACCATAAATGTCGAACAAATGGAGCAACACAGCTTAACGTGCAGTGTGGTGACAATGCTTAATGTGCAACAAATGACTCACCAATTCGAGCGCCGTGCAGAACTAATGGGGGAGTTAAAAGTGAAACTAAAATAGCTCTCGAATGTCAACTAGCCAATAGCCCCAGGAGACGAAGGTTTACAAAAACTGAACTTGCAATTTTCGAATGCCATTCGAAACAGCTTTAATGGCCCGAATGGGCAAATAAAAATTGGAGGTGACCAGTCAAAAATTGAAATTTCAAGTAAAGCAGCCATACTAGTGACCGGATGTGTAGAGTTGGTGGATTTGGCGCTCGTTAGCTATTCACCGGATGTCTAAAAATGTTCGCGTGCATAAGCTTTGACCAGGAGGAAAGCAGTAAGGTGACCAAGTATGACATTAAAAACTCAAAGAGCAACAGCAGTGGCAATAAATCATAATGGCATAAATTTAGGAGTTCTTAATTCAAAAATGTCGAAATAAATTGATTTAACAGATTTGGCTTGATCTGAATATTTGGATGATCAAAATTTGTAGGGGCCAAAATCAAAAAACTTCAATGAGCCTTCAGATTCTATCGTTATAAGACCTGGCTGCGCTCCAGCATAATAACATTCTACCCATGTAGGGCGGTCTATTTCATTGCGGTAAGCGCATTCTCATCAGGGAAGCGCGCTCGTTCATATTTTCCGCTGCTACGTTTTGCATCCACGAAACTGGTACTGCTCCTAATAGCATCACGACGCGTTCCGACGGGGCCGATGGAGTGCAAAACAAATTACAGCATATATAGCGTTGGAACGGAAACTCCGGCTTTTTCTATGCATTATGCGAAAAAGCAATACCTAAATGGAACATGCGCATAAGAAGAGATCCTTTTGAGGTTTACATGATCCTTTGCAGAATCGTGCAGAAAAGAGGAGTCGGCAAAGATCTGGGGCAAAGCCTATTGTTAAATAGTGATTCTGGTAAGATCAAATGCTAATTCGTCGTCTCAGACAAGATTACCGATAAGTGCATTACTGTAAGTAGGATGTCTAGTCGCTAAAAATAGTGACGTGCTTGCCTTTGGTATATACACTATGCTTCTATTGCTACCGAAAAGAAATTGAACATTCGTACTCAAATATAGCAGGTTGGTTCGCGTGGAGTGGATGTATTTAGAGACGACTAGAGGTGGAAAAAAATTCACAACCAAGATTTGAAGAGCTCTGGAGCTGAGGCTAACAAGGAGATGACCTTGAAACTCAAGTGGTCCCCGCAATCATAGCACAGACGCAAGTTGCGCAGGTGGAAAACCAGCCGAGCGAGTGAACTGGTGAGGGAGCTAGACCTATTTTTGTAAACATAATGATGGATTATACTCTGTTTGTGTTTGTTTAACGCTGAATATTCGAAAAGCGTCGCGACGCACAACTTTGCGCCGCGGCAGTCATGGAGTGGCACAACGATAAATTTATTGTCGTCCAACTTTATTGTTGTTGCGGAAATACGGTGAAATTGCAACAATATGGTTGCACAACAAGAAAGTTGCGGGATATTGCATCATTGTGCAGGGCTGAAATGAGGCTGCAACTCTATAATTGCACAACAACAAAGTTGCCTGTAGCTGCAACTTCATTATTGTTGCAAAGCGATGCAGTTGCAGCAACAAGCACTAGTGCTAACAGCCCCGCCCACTTGCTGTTGCTGCAGAAGTAGTGTTGCATGGATGCGTAACATTTCTAGTTGCTGCAACAGTTCTATGCATTGATTACTGTAATTACAGTAACAAGGTAACTCAGGCTACGTGCAATATAGTGCTAACACTATGCGCTTCAGGAATAAATACTCTAGAACGTAACGATAGCTGTAACATGCAATGAAATGAGCAAAATCACACAAAGATTATGTCTATGAAATTGAGGCAAACAGTCTCGTGAACATTGAGAATGTGGACACGATCGATGCTCATTGAAAACCTCCCACTGTACAAACATTCACTATTGGGTGATCAAGAGCGAGATTCGAGCATAAATGCTTTACGAACGCCTGTCTGTTGAGATGTATAGCAGTGTGTAGGGTGTACTACACATGTTTGTTGAGGAAGGTAAAATTGAAATTGAGGTTTGTGTTCATTATGTCCCAGAAAAACAACAAACCATTCATTATACGAATCCCGAATTTGCGAGAACACAAATAGCAATGCTTTGCGGTTCTCTAGAGACCTTTGAAATTCTCCAGAGGATGACGTTGAGACAATATTATAGCTCAGAAATGAGCTCCTCATCGTCGAAGCTATTAAATTCGTTGATAATGAAACAAAAAAGTATACTTGTCCCAATAAGCTTTCTTGATGTGACTTATGGTCCACGAAAAATGCAGTATCTTGCTTGCAGATTTGCTAAGAAAAAAGTTTGAAGAATGTAGTCTTCTTCCTCAACATAGATTTGAACATTTGAACATAAAGGATATATAAAAATAAGAAGAACACAAGCTACCATTTCTGTCTCGCAATATATTATGGCGGAGAAATATATAAATAGTTCATTGAGGAATGCATTTGGTGACTACTTTTACCACCAGAATAAGTGCTCTAACTGACTGAAGAAATTCAAAAAATTGCGAACGGTAGCGTTTTTTATATAGAAAAATCTGTTTTCAATATGTGTCATTGCCGCTCAAGATAGATCCTCTAAAAGTTCCACTGCCATGCAATTCTAAAATTCAAATTGTAGGAGAAGTGAAGGGAGACCGCAAGTGAAAGATATGAACAGTTCATTGTTTCATTCAATCATATATGACAGCTTTTATATGTACAGACCGGAAATGGTTCACTTAAACGCATTATTCGACAATCAAATTGAGATCACGGTTGTTTCTCCACTTTAGAACAGGAATTTGAGCAGAAGATGTGTTCTTTGTGGAAAGGAAGATCATTGCCTTCACTTTTCGGAAATTCCCCACAATCAAACTCGATCTCGTTAGCTTTATATTTTTGACATTACAGTATAGCCAATTCACCAATAATAGCAATCAGTCAGTTCCAAAAAAGGGAGAACTGAATTTTCACTGGAAAGTTTTGATGAGTACATAAGATTGTGGAAAATGTTGTGACACATCCTTGCTCTTTCACATCTTTTTCAAAAAAATTTTGGCGGAAATTTACAAAAATTCTACTCAAGTCCACCATTAACGCTTCAATTTTAGGAATGTCGGGGTGCGACATCAACTTTTCTATTGTGTTTGTCAATAACAATGAAGTTACACAAATTGTTTGTTCCACCGAAGTGTGCACTAGAACTTAAGTATAAATGCAGAGTCAAGTTTTTCATTTAGGCAGCGTTCCCTCCACTGCAGGTTAGAATTCCTCTCTCCTATCTCTTCTCCTTCAATTTTTTAAGTTTTTCTCTGCAGGACCATGAACGCAAAGACTGTCGCCTACACCTCTATAGGGCTCTCCATAGGAGCCACAGTGCTGATCGCGATGTTTGCGACTCGTCTATCGGCCATACTTGGAGAAATTTCCAAAGAAATTGAGAGCGATATGAACGAGTTCAAGCTGATGGAACAGCAGGCAACGTGAGTTTTCTTTTCGACCAGCGTTTCATTGACTTTTGTGGTCAACAACCTGTAACTGGCCCCGTAGGGTCTGGTTCTGCTAATGCCAACGAGTTATTTGCAATTCGTTCAATGTCCATTCTCACTTGAAAGTGTTCTAGAAACTGGTTTAGAAAAGTGCTAGCTCTTTCCATCATGCTTGGTTTGCATGATGCAAGGTCACATCTGCTAAATCTCTTTCTTCAGAGTCCATGTCCGTGTTGGTCGTGCAGCGAAAAGACATCATGCGCATCAACATCAGCATGCACAAGCCAGAAGAGAAGCATCACCACTACCGGGAGCACCGATACTAAGATGGGAACGTCAGACTGGTGGAGATTGTCAATGTAACATCGACGCAAATTGCCCGGCTGGACCTCCTGGACAGCCGGGAATGCGTGGGGAAGACGGTACCCCTGGAGAGCCGGGACAGCGTGGTGCATCAGGAATGCCTGGTAACTTCCCACCGGTGGCGATGGATGCTACAGGACGTTGTAGAGTGTGTCCTCATGGTCCACCTGGACAACCCGGACCTCCTGGACCTCCCGGAGTGCCAGGTGCTCCCGGACCAAGCGGTAGTGTCGTCAGTGCTGGTTCTCCTGGACCTCCAGGCTTGCCAGGTAAGATAAGGGATTCGATAGTCACCCATTTCTATAAATCTCTTTCCAGGACAACCCGGTCAACCCGGAGAAGGCGGTCGCCATGGAGCACCAGGACCACCCGGTGACAGAGGAGAAAACGGAACGCAA